TTCCAACGGCTAATTTTTTGAATTTTAGAAATTTAGACAGGATAAATTGTGAATGAAATTGAAAAAAGTTATTTGAGATCTGACGGCTGATATATTGGTGTTGATGCAGACGCAATAAGAACCCCTAGGCCACATTTCCTACGTCTTGCCCCGAAACAAATTGCACCTCTGAATGTGTTATGACGCGCTTTATTGAAACCGCCAACGCTGAGCACAATTCAGGCTTATACGCTTTCCATGCTTTCTTTATAGGATGGCTCAGCGGAAATGGTAGACCGTGTACGCAGGGTCAATTGTCGTGTTCGTGCTTTTCCAAAACTTAGCGACTGTCCCCTCCCTCCTTAAAAGGGGTCTCGATACATTCCAACTCCCTGGAAGCCTCCGGTAATAACGACCTTTTACCCTTTACTTCCACCAACCTCGCCATCATGGACCATGTGTGCTTCCACAGTATTTGTTTCTGCAACTAGCGGGCACTGCCTAACTCCGCCCACTTTTTCCTCTGAAACGGTGGTTAAGCAGAGGTAGGGAACAAATATAGCGAGCCACTAGTCTTCCAATTTTATCAATTTCAAGCTCTTTCATGAAGTGCGCCAAAATCGTCTGCTTCCAAAACTTTCCCTCTGTCTTAAACCAAACGTGACCAAGAGCCCAAGAGAACAGCACCGACGGAGAAGTACTGTAGGGTATGATAAAACGTTGCCAATGTTGCGCACCCTTCTGACATCCCATTCAGACGTTTCGCGTTTTTGTTTGCATAAACTCATCGATTCCAAAAGCAATATCACCCATCTGACTAGTACGCCCACTGCGTCGAGTGCAAACGATGTTCTAACATGAGGATTTCGAAAAGCTGTCAATTCCACACTAACGAGACGAGAATAATCCTTACGGAAAAGGACAAGGAACAAGAAGAGTCTTTAAGAAATGGAGCGTTATTTCTCAGGTGTTTTTGGGCTTGCGTGCATGTGTGGCCCTCAGGTGAAGACCACGAGTTGCTGCGGTCAATTTTTCCTGAACGTTCAGGAAGTACAAACATTGCGGGAAGAAATGGTCTGAGGGGGGCGTTCAATCTCCGGACTGACAAAGTATTTGCATAACTGATGTTCGGGGATGCCTGCGTAAAATCCGTCAGACGGACCGTTCAATGACATCTGATCTCGAAGCATTCGCTCATGTTGGGATCTGGCTCGAGGGGCATTCTTGATCGCGCCCAACAGGTTTGGTAAATTAGTCATCAACCACGGATCGCAAAGTAACTCTGAGCATTTCCTCACCACTCGTTTTGAGAGTGCTGGAGGGCGTTTCGACAGACAGATGCGATATGCTTCTGTATTCCTTGGCAACGTGCCTGTTAAAATACAGAAAGGTCATTCCAATAAAGCGCGTCGCTGAAAGAGTTCTTCGAGAAAGTTCCGAGGTGGGCCGAGCGAGTCCAGTACATTGCTCATGATCACAGTAACTGGCAACAGGACTCATGGTGTTGTTAGGCCTTGTGGGGAGACATACACAGCTCTTCGTACATTGATAAGATTGCTGTGTTCGTCGTTCTGACTCTTCCTGACTGACAGGCGCACTAGCATGCGGGGGGAAAGAAGGTAACAAAGGCGAGGTCATCCCGCGTCACGTTGTGCGACGATGTACGACAATTTTACCAACACTCCTACCATTATAAGAGCGGCTCGGAGTACGACCGACCCTCTCTTGTGCGCGACCCATCCCCTCGCATGGACGTTGGTACCACGGACGGTCGGACCCTGCCAAAGATAGTTGTCGAAATCTCCAGCTTAGTTTCGTGGCCTCCGGAGTGCGCAACGGCCACGCTGACTGCCACTCGGCAATCATAATGACTGGATGATTGAATTCCCGTAGTCCACGGGGTATCGAATGATGCTCCTTAAGAGAGCGTGCATACTCCGCCTCTTTAACGAAAGTTCGACAATAGGCGGCACTAAATAACAAACCCGGAAAGATGAAGAAATGGGCTAACCGAGCTAGACCTCGGAACGGCGATTCACTTCCCCAGCGAAATTGTATTTAAAGTTCCCCATAAACATTTAGAGAGACCTAAGTACATCGAAAGCAGTCTGAGACCGCTGGCTTGCACAAATATGGACACTAGAAAACTGCCTACGCTGATTTGTTGTCACGGAACGTTCGTGCGCGCTTAATTTGCAAAACGAAAGCTAATGCATGAGAGTGCACCTCGGTCGGAAATACGGGTTGTGCTTTTGCGAAACTTGGTCTACAGGAGGGGCGGATGAGTGCCCTGATTACGAATTCGATCAGTCGTTTTTCGACGCCCCAGAGCCCGGCGACGATGTTTATTCCACACAGGCAAGCTCGCTCAGTAAACTTTGTTTGCCTATTCTTTAAGGCTCAAGATTTCTTCTAGAAAGTTCACGTTAGATCCAGAATGTTGCTACCATACTCGGCATCAGCTCTCAAGAATTTAGTCATACACATCTACGGTTCACTTCCCACTTCCATGGGAACTCAAAGCACGTCTTAGTTAGATCCTAGTACTATAGCAAGGCCACGATTCACTATTCAGGCCTGCCGCCGTTTCGATTGCACTAGTGGAAAGTGTCGTGTCTGATAGCATACTGATATGATGAAGTCAGATCCATGTATATAAGAGACAAAAATGTACAGATGAGTGAGGTTCTCTGAGGACGTGCATTCATCCAGAATTAGATCACATTCGACCCCGCTACCTGGAATTACAGATGGTAGTCGAATCGCATTGGGACCATACCCACCAACCGTAGATACGCCAAAATGCGCACACATTGTGTTTTCTAAATTCTTAATAGATTTTACTATTACTCAACTCTAGCGCATAGCGGACCGTCAAGCTGAGTACCCAGAGGGGAGTTGTGCCGAGCAACAATAAGGCTGTAAGTATTGTGTGTGGCAGGATACGCGGGGGCGATTCAGTAGCACCATTAGAATCAACATGTGGTGCCATAGACGCGGCTCGAGAAAGCGCTGCGAAAATGACGCTAGAACCTTACAAAGTGGGCTAATGACGAGTAACGCGGACTAGTAGACGAGATATCTTGCGCATAACCCGTAACATGCAATTTGGATCCACGCGGTAGCGGCTAATTCAAGTGACGCCGCCTGGTGGAGTTTTTGCTAACAATCGGAGCCCGGACAACTCGGGTCCGACCCAATTAGAAAGAAGGGGGAGTCACTTCTTCGCCTCATCGGAGGTCATTTCCTTTTTTTGCATTTTATGGCAACTCAGCATCCGCCATTTCATTATTGACCGCTGCCACTCCACCAATTCAACCTGGGGTTATTACTTCAAATGCCTATGCGGCTTCACAGCGAAACCATAATATTTATTTATTTATTTATTTATTTATTTATTTATTTATTTATTGCACGCTTAGGTGCGCTACATTAATTCACATCTTAACATCAGTAAAAACTAGGGAACACAAAACATTGTTAAGTGAACCAGCTAGGCAGCAGGCGAGATAAAGAGATGATTCTCCAGGACTAAATTTGAAAAAGCAGAGATGTCGATAAATGCAAATTAGGAGATTCCTGTAGGCCCAATTGAAGTTGTGTCTCGAACAGAAATGTGTTCAGTATTCGTCAGTCAATAGTTTATCATTCAATGGGCGGATTCTAGACGGACCGTAGCTACGCACTGGCAATCAGAATGATTTTCGGATGTTAGGTATTGCCTACCCCTAACAATTAACCATAAATAATATAGATCGTGGAACTGGAGATAATCTCTCTAGCTACTGCTTTACCTTCGCTGACGCAGAACACAACCGGAGCATAAACAGTAGGATCTTTTTTCCAACAAACATAATATATAGCATCTCAATTCGTCACACACTCAGTCACGGTACAAAAAACCGCTAGGTCAAGAAGCTAACAATGTGCATCAAGTTGCCGTGAAGAGGACGAGACGATGAAATCTGGGAAGAACAATTGTTACAAGCACACAGGAGGCAATGTGCACTGTGCGGAACGACTAGGACGTTCCCACTATACGAGTATGAGATAGGGCAGGCCGTCAACGGCCCGGGTAACTGCACAAACAGTGACGCGCAAGTACACCGGGTCCAAACGGACCAAAAGGAGCACCGTGCCCTAAAAAGGGGCCGAGCCACACTGGTACGGGGGGCGAAAAACGCTGAAACATCCCTGAAAAGAGAATTCACGACTGGGCCCCCGGATCTCGCTCTTTGGGTGCGAGAGGTCCCGGTTTCGATCACCGGCTTGGCCCAAATTTTTGCAAGGCATCCACGGCATTCGGATCTTCATGAAACCTTTTCCGATCGATGTGGGGATGGCTCTTGTGCGTGAACAGTGAGAACCGCGTGGAAATATCATGTCTTCTTTTGGAATTCGAACAGATTTGCTTCAATATAGCGTGTGAGCGACTTGTCTACGGCCAAGTGGTCTAGTGGTATGATTCTCGCTTTGGGTGCGAGAGGTCCCGGTTTCGATCACCGGCTTGGCCCAAATTTTTGCAAGGCATCCACGGCATTCTGCGGCGTTGAGGTCCTCGCAGTATTCTGCCCCTGTTGCATGGAGGTGGCTCATCCCTGCATTGACAGCAACCTTTATTGTTTTGCAGAACTTACATGGGGTTCTAAGTGAATTCTTTTTTTAGCAGCTTTCCCTTCCTTTCGGTTGTTATTTTAGGGTTTGCGAATGGGTTCATGTCTTCAGTATTTGCTTTATGTCGTGTTTAGGCGCTATATGTTACATCGAACTGGGCACCGCGATCACGGAACCTGGTGCTGATTTCGCATATACGGTGTATGTTGGTTGGAAGGCTATTGCTTTTGCTTTTTCATGTGGGTATCTGTGTTTGTGACTTATCCAGCATCGGCAGCTGTCCAAGCACTAACTTTTGGGCAGTACATTGGTATGTTTCCTTTATGTTGGTTTCATTGTCGCGCGAGGCAGGGAACAAAAGGTCTGAGTTCTCATGCCAAGACAGTGATGTATGTTAAGTGAATGGCATGGCTCCGGTATGGTCTCTTGAGCCAGGATGGCATGAGTTCGTGGAACGAACTCTGGGTTTCACTCTTTTGAGTAAGGATTAATTCTTCGTTTCCTGTCGCTTGAAGTTCTTTTTAGGTAATTTTCTTTGCAGCCATACTGATTGTGCTGAATTTCTACGCGCTTGATCGGTATGCGGCGCCATTTCAAGTGGCGGTTACCAGTGCCAAAATGCTTAGCGATGGCTATTATTGTGTTTGCAGGGTTCTACTATTTATTTTTCGAAGGTTCGACAACACTAGAAAAAATTGTTGTGCAGTCGTTTTTTGGCGTGACTCATCTGTGATTCTAACAGGCTGGACGAAAAACTTGAAAGAGCCAATGGCAGGAAGTGTCTGGGCTCCTGGAAAGTTGGCACTGGCATTCTATGGAGGTCTATGGAGTTACGCTGGCTGGGATATTCTGAACTATGGAACACCTGAAATTGAGAAGCCGACACGGTGAGTGCGACCAATGGTTTGTGATAGCGAGATCTGGGTGCAGCTTATAGTGGGTCTCCCCTTATGAAGATAGGAAAAAGAGAGTGTGATGGCGTTTCTTGTCGACCACTTTCTGTACTTTTTTTCTCTCAAACCGATTTCCGACATCGCAAAATTACTTTGCATTCTCTTTTTTTTGTAGGCGGTCCTATTTTCATCGTTTTTCTTTTCTGCTGAAGAAGCCTGACTTCGCTTCCCGATTTGTGGATCAAATTTCAAAAAGTTTCTCAGGTGTTCTCGGGAGGGTCGGGATTCACTCCTGATTTTAGCACTGAAATTGTCATCACTTCCGTAATGAACACAGTTTCAGCACAGGCTTTATAGCAAACGATAACGACTTTCTTAAAGGCATCGTGCACGAAACCCGTATGACTCCATTCTTACCTGGAATAATGGACCTAATTTCAAACCACTTTTTTTTCTTAAGGACGACAGAAACAAAGCTTAGCGTTCATTTTGATGCAAATCCGTACAAGTTGATTATAAGTAATTTTCAAACCCGCCACAAAACCCTGCATATGCTCGCACACACCACGTGTACCTTCTGTTTCATCAATTCTTCTAACCTCGCCCTTTATACCAGCAGCTATCCATTCAAAAGATAAGTTTTTTGAGGGTTATGTCCCTTCGAATTACCATTTTCTTTGCTCGGGACCACTATAATCTCCTATGATCATACACAACATAGTCATGCGGAGGGAATCAATTTTCCGTGCATGGCACCTTTGAGGCTGAGGTGCCATCCCACGGTCTAACTAGAAGTAAAACCCGTATCAGATTTTTTTTAACAAGGGAGTCTATTGGGGCAAGGTCGCGCTTTTTCAAAACGGTTTCCTGCATATTGTAGGGACGCATGTATGGACCACAAAACCATGTTTCGTTTTCGCTGAACGGTTTTAGTAGTACCAAAAAAGTGGTGAAATACTCTTGATGGTTCGATCCCCCGCGGCGACTAAATTTTGCAATCAAGGTTGGCGGCCACTTGTTGGCTTCAAAATGGTCCTGACGATGAATTTGACATCTGATTTTGACATTTAGCGCGATTTGGCACCACCGTAGGCGCCAACCCAAATGCAAAATTTAGTCGCCACGGGGACATTCGAACCCTTTACATTATCTTATGCTATTGAGCTACAAACAGTTCAGGCACAATGAACATATTTTGTGTATCCCTTTAGTGTGCCTACAATAAAGGAAAACGTTCTCAAAAAAGCATCAGACTGTCCCAAAGGCCCGCCGCCCTTGTATGAATGAAAGAAATTACTACAGTACGTGCTGCGACTAGTCCGCTGATTCTGCCTTCTAGCCGCGCCACGGGCCTTCTGTCGGGTACCCGCGGCTTTGCGAGTGCAGCGGGCAGTATCTGTGACCGCATCTGACCTGTCCCTCGTAGTTCGCAAGTTGTTATATAAATACACTGCGTTTCATAAATATAGGTCCACCCTAATTTTTTGCTATTCCAAAGTTGCTGTGCATTTTTGGAAAAATGCCGCTATTACCAATAGTTTCCCCATAACGAAAAACCTTGATACTTGATTTCTGGAGAAATCTCGATTCAGAAATTAAAATATCTTCCTTAGAACGTATTTTCACCGTAACGAAAAAACGTCACGAATTTTCAATAATGGGATGACCCCCCAATAATCATAAGGAACACAATAATACGTTTTGAAATGCTGGTAGCCAAATTAGCTATTACAGTAGGATCGAAATTCGTCTGGGCGCCGATGATCGACCTTTTCAGCTTTTCGGCTGTTCCATTTTGCTTTACTTTGCTGTGGAACTTTATAACAATTAAGGCCCAATGATTCTCTATTGGAATCTAATTCAGATAACATGGTGGCCACCAGATAACTGCCACATTTTTTCCTGCAATTCCATCTGGCGCGGAGGGACCGGCATGGACAGCCGCGTTATCGTGTGTGAAAATCAAGGATAGAGGGGATCCTTGTTGAAAAAATGGTAAGACTCGCTTCGAAAGAACTTCACGATACCCTGTGGAATCTTTGTGAACGGAAACAAAAGCGAGCTCTAGCTACTCAGTCGTTCAAAGGTGCCTCAAACCATAAGGGATTCACCGCCGAAATTACGTTACATTGAAACCATCTGCGATTTTCACGCGATCATCCTGTACCCTCTTTTTCTGCCATATCCACCTAGAATAAACTTTTCCACGTCGATCTCAGACCACCTGTAGAACGAAACAAGGAGGTAGAGTCCAAGATCGCGAAGGGTCTTAACAGCCACACCATCGCTCATTAAGTTGAGCCCTTTTCCACGGAGAAATGGAGACTTGCGATCTTGTAGCGCTCAAATAATCTTGGAACGCTCTTCATCAATCCGTTGAAGATGTTATTGCTCTGCTGGCTTACTCACCACACGGTGGTTTTGCTCACGGAAGGCCGCATTTCAGTACGGACTTTGTTCGGACTCCTTGTATAATTCGAGAGAAGACACCCAATTCCTCCTAAATTTTGAAGGAAACGCAGTCTTTATTTACCTAAGCGACTCTTCTCTCCGCACTGACCAGGATTTTGCACATAGTCGCTTATGCAGTATGAGCCGGCCGACATGGGAGGAAATTCTGCTCCTCAGCTATCCCACTTCAGTAAGTGCTCTAGCTTGAGCTTGTTACTGGGAAGAGAGGCGAATAACACGAGGTATGGTAAACTCGATGTCGACTGAGCCCACATATTTCCCCGCTTCCCTGATCCCTTCACGGATCGTGAGAAATGGAAACTTTTTATGAGTGGCCCGATATTCATGAAACGGTGAAAATTCGTTCTAAAAAAGTTAATTGGGTTACTTGAGGGGGGAATTTGTCAGAAAAACACTATGAAGGTTTTCCGTGATGAGGAATCTAACGGTGATAGCAGCATTTCCAAAAAATGCACAGCAACTTTGGGGTAGCAAAAATTTAGGGTGGACCTATAATTATGAAACGCAGTGTATTATTAGACCATGCTTTCGTCATAGTGTCAAGTGGTACTGGTCAATTACAGAATTACGGAATATATATTTTAAAAAAATTGAATTTGCTTGGGCTGACCCCTACCTCCAGCTCTTCAGAATACCTAAATACGCATTCAGATGCCTTCGTCATTTTGAATAGGAGTGGACTCCATAGCGCTTGTAATTGACAACCTTACAGTTTCATACTCTATAATATTTCATTGCAGCACCATGCCTCTTTCACTGATCTCGGGTATCTTAATCGTCTGCATCACTTACGTGGCCATCAACATATCATACTTCGTCGTGTTAACGCCGGATGAAATGAAGAACAGCACTGCTGTGGCGGCAGTAAGTACTACTTCAGAAAGAAATTTGGTTTTATTTGTCGACGAAAGAGTTCTTCCGTCCACAGTTCAAAAATTGAAGGAGACTTGTTTTTGTTTGTTAACTGCTGTTTTTGGCCGCAGTTCGCCTTGCGAATGTTTCACAAGAATGCTGGGTTGTGAACAAAACTTTCGCCCCAGGACGGGACTCGAACCCGCACCTCTTGCTTACCGGGCAAGTGCGCTACCAGTTACGCTACCGGGGCACCATTTCATCCAACTCAGCTTCTTCATGGTGTACTTACCTGCTTGCGCACTTGCCCGGTAAGCAAGAGGTGCGGGTTCGAGTCCCATCTGGGGCGAAACTTTTGTTCACAGCCCAGCATTGTGAAACATTAAAGGGAGATTGTTTTGTTACATAGCTACATGTTTGATACATAAAAAGCAAATCTCAATTTATAAAACATACTTAGTTAGCTCACTGAGAGCATAGGAGAATGGGAGGATGGGAGAATCCGCGAAAAGGATTGATGCGTACATTGCAACAACAGGAAAGGTTAGAGTGATAATAAATAAGAAATGCGTTAGATGCAAGATAGCCAATTTAGTGACAGGTGGCACTATCAGTTGAATGTTGAACAACGAGGAATGTGCCCCTTGTAGAGCGAAGTTGGGTTGCTGAGGGGGAAAAATAGCGCTCACGCGGCAAAGCGAGCTCCTGTAGAAACTTGAGGCTGATTTCATACTTTGCGCAGTTGCGGACGGCTCGCAAACTAGGGAGAGCGCCAATCACGCTTGAAGCATGAC